AAAAAAGTAGTTCTAAAGCTAGCTTCCTCTTCATCATGAAATGAACCTGCCTTTGAAGTGGATGCAGTTACTAACTGAACTTGCTTTTTAAGAACTTCAGATTGCCAATGTTTTTACTTTTAAACCTTTTGTTTAATTTTGAACAAGCTGAAAAATAAAGCAGTGGCAGTATTGTAGTTGAGTACTTATTTTCCGAGTACCGAGTACTGCCGAGTACTTAGGTTGCTGAGTACGAGTACTTGTACTTCCGAGTACGAGTACTTGTACTTCCGAGTACAAGTACAGGTCTCCGAGTACAAGTAGTTGTACTTACGAGTACGAGTACTTGCACTTCCGAAGTATGAGTTCGAGTATTTGTAGTCCGAGTACGAGTACAAGTACTTATATTTCCAATACAGGTACGAGTTGGCCTACTAGTGCATTGTGCTTGAAGCCGAAAATTATCTGTACTTGTGATACAAACTAGGGATCGTCTTTTTAAGCATTTTTCAATTATTTGAAATTAATATTTAATTTGTGGTAACGTACATGTACTACGCATATAGTCTGCTTCCTTGACGTGACAATCTAGATCCTAGGCCTGTGTTTATGTCTGTGGGACTAACGCTGGAACCAGACTAGGGGCTGTTTTTCAAACCCTGGCTTAAGCTTGTCTCTTTCTCCATTCATGCAGGTTGGCAATGGGGCAGGGCCAGGATAGGGAGGTGAAACCGGGGTTCATAAAACAGCCCTGCTCCAATCACCCAAGTTAATCCAACGACCATTTTGAGAAACACCTCTGCGTTTCATGTACATGATTGGCCATTGTGCCCACATATGCCGAATGGGTTCTTGTCAGACCAATATACAGACCCCCTCACAGCTAGCTGTAACATGTACATGTAATTGTGTTTGTCCGGACGTGCACAGAGGAAAGTCAGGAAACTTTGATTTCTCTGCTAGCCAATCAACCATTTCAAACTGAAAGTATCGATACAATAAGGCCGTGGTAAGTCAAGCTATACCATTTTGTTCCGAGTACTGCTATTCGAGTACGAGTACCTTGATGATTGAGTACATTTTTGACACGTACCATCATGTCCAGAACAAGTACTCTGACATTCAAGTACGAGTACGAGTACTCTTAAAAAGTACTCAAGTAGTACTTGAGTACGAGTACAAGTACCACAACACTGAGTGGTGGATGCCAGAAATAAATCTTGCAAATTGTGTATATATTCTTATAGTTATATCCTCCAATCAAAATATGACAAGGATCTACTTAGATATTATTGTCATAGTCTTTCAATTGTTGGTTCAAACCAAGTGGAGTCACAGGGAATTTTGAATAGGTTTCTAGGATTTGTCAGCATGATCATTGAACGTTTTATTAATGAGGGTTCTGACATCCACATCAATCAATTAACCCTAACTCCCTAGGATTTTGCACACCCATTTGGTTACTGTGCACAAGTACGGCAGTGTCTCTACCCAAAAAATACAAAGCGTTTTACAAGATGTTCTTGCCACCTGCTTCTCATCGTTTTTTATTCAAGATTTAAAAGATTTTTTTTTTTAAAGGATGGTGTGTATACTGATATATGAGGTGTAGTGTTTTCATATTTATTTTTATTGCACCTTTTGAATAAGTTGAGATATTTTTCGTTTTCATTATTTTATACTTCACTTTATATTTTGAAAACCACTTTTGATATTGGTGCCATTTAATGTCTGTGTTGTTTGTTTTAACCCTACCCCTCCTGAATCCATGAAAATCCACACCCCTGTTTTGGAGTATTTTGGTGGATTCAGGATACCTCCATATTGACAAGGGGATTTTGATGGATTCAGGATTGTAAGCCTAGCGGTACTGCAGGATTTGGATGGATTCGACATACCTCCATACTGAGCAGTCACCAACACTGGAATTTTGCGCATGATACAATAGGTATTTTTGGCGAATTCAGGATACTTTTTAGTAAAAGTGCTCAAGGGATTAGGGTTAACACACAGGAAGCAGAATGTCATGTTTTCTTAATCGTAATGAATAAAAACATTAACTAGAGCTATGTCTGCTTATGAACAGAACATACCGCTTTTCCGCACTTGTTGTTAATTTACATATTAAATATAAAAATCAGGCAAAAGGTTGCGTGATGTGGGGAACTTGAATAAGTTCAACGAAATCCCAAAATTTACTTACGCAAAAAAACTTTTAACATTGACATTAACAACCATAAACTCTCACGTGAGGGATTTCTTCAAACTTGTAGTCCAATTTCAAGACACCTCTATTTTTCTATTTTTTCTGCTAAATATCATGATGCTATCATTTTTCACATGATTTTCCACATATACAACGCAGTTCTATTAGGGTAACCGTGCCGTTAAGTAACTTCATGAATTTGCAGCGCATCAATACTGAGGCTTGGCAAAACTACTTTGTCATATCTGGGGAAAAGGTAGCCATTTGGGATCTCTTATATGTCCTCATAACTATCCAGTCACTTCTATGCTTTAGAAAATTTTATTTCAGTAAGGATATGAACATGTAAATAGAATCCCATAATACACTTAACAAATAAAAACAAGTCAGGTGTGTTTACAAACACAAATGCCCCGCAACCGTAACTGTTCCCATGACATGACGCCACTCTTTTAACAGCAACTTGCATGTACGTACCTGAGTCACATGGAACTTTCATTGACATCATTATTGTTTTCTGTAGGTTATATATGAATTAATCCCTATGATCTCAGAATAAATATAATGTATTTTTTTGGCTTTTCTGATGGACAGTTATTGTATGTGATTTAAAAGAGTGAGTGAATGTGAAGGGATCATGTACAAACAAGCTGAATTAAAAAAACAAGTCAGGTGTGTTTACAAACACAAATGCCCCGCAACCGTGACTGCTCCCATGACATAACACCACTCTTTTAACATCAACTTACATGTACCTTGGTCACATGGAACGTTCATTGACAGCATTAGTGTCTTCTGTAGGTTTTATATGAATTAATCCCTAATCCCTATAATCTCAGAATACATGTAAATACATGATTTCTATTGTTTTAGCCACTGTGAACTTGACCCTTGACCTTTTGGCCCCAAATTCAATAGGCTTCTTAGGATTACCAAGAACAATCCACAAACCAAATTTGAAGTTCACATGTAAAGTATTTCTCAAGTTATCCCGCTGACAAAATTTCTTTTGTTTTAGCCGCTGTGACCTTGGCCCTTGACCTTTCGGCCCCCAATGCAATAGACTTCTTAGGATTGCCAAGAACAATACACAAACCAAATTTGAAGTTCACATGTTCACACTTGAGCATAGACGAGAACAATTGAGCATTGCATTTGTGAAATCTCTCAAGAACTCAAAACTTGAGAGTCTAGTTCCGCAAACAAGGTCAACATCTGGCTACAATCTGAGGAACTCAACAAAATTAACTCAACTCAAGTGCAATACCTCCAGATTTAAGAACAGTCCTGTGCCACATCTGATCAATCTTTTGAATACAACTCAATAGATATCTATTTATTTTGTCAATGACAATTTTGCGGCACTGCAAAGCAATGAAATTCAAAGTGTTTAGTCCTACTCTTCCAGTATTTTTATTTTTTTTAAATCTTTTGATATCTCTTTTTACTAATAACATTTTTTTAACTGAACGTATAACTACATATTTTCATAATTGTATTGTTGGCTCGCTCTTCTTAATTGTTTTTGTGTCTAACGCTGTGTGCTAATTTTTGGTCGTTTTATGCTAAGACTATTCTACTTTTTATGTAAATTGAACAAATGTATTGTTTTCCCTAATTCAGCCTTTGGCTGCGATGGAAAATGTTTTTAATAAACCAAGAATAATAATTTTAAAAAATAATAATAATGTAAAGTATTTCTAAAGTTATCACGCTGACAAAAATTCTTTTGTTTTAGCCACTGTGACCTTGGCCCTTGACCTTTCGGCCCCAAATGCAATAGGCTTCTTAGGATTACCAAGAACAATCCACAAACCAAATTTGAAGTTCATATGTTAAGTATTTCTCAAGTTATTGCGCTTACAAGTTTTCTATTGTTTTAGCCACTGTGACCTTGACCCATGACCTTTCCGTCCCAAATGCAATAGGCTTAGATTTTAAAGAACAATCCACAAACCAAATTTGAAGTTCATATGTTAAGTATCCCAAGTTATCTTGCTGACAAGATTTTTCCGAACACACACACACCCACACACCCACAAGCACTTAGCATACAGGGTTTATGGGGCACCACTACTGTTCGACCCTTATCCCCTTCTTTTGTTCTTCTTTGTCTCCTTAGAAATCTCAAAACCCATAACGTTAGGGCTATGGGGGGTACTTCAATTTCTAAAGACAGACTTGCGGGGTACCATTGTCCCTATTGTTGCCCTTTGTTCCCAGTACCCCATAAGTGCCAATATGTTAGAACACACACAGTCGTGTTCAAACCGTTGATCGTGGACGTCCTACTGTCCCTTTTTGTTTGTACTTTTTAGGAAGACTCCCATTGGTTTTGTACACGACCCCAATCGCGGACGTTTGCTTGGAATCGAGGACGATATTGTTCTCTTTTGTTCTCTGTTATTTTCCTCCACGGTTTGAATAGATGAACACGTTCTTACCCACGCTCCTACCCACACACCCACCCACCGAAGGACAAAGCGAAAACAGTATGCCCCTTCAGCTTCGCCGCGGGGCATAAAAATTGAAAATGTACCAAAATATGGAATAAATATATTACCCAGCTGCCATATAGGATTTATTGAAATTCGGCACCCTACCCCCACCCCCCCCCCCCATCCCCCCCCCCCCCCCCCCAAAAAAAAACATCTAAACTCTCCTTCACCCTCAAGCCATCTGACTCGATGTATAGGATAACAAGATCACCCACAAACCCACCCACACTGAAGGACCAGGCAGAAACAGCATACCCTTCGGCTTCGCCCGTGGGGCATACAAATTGAATGTCATAAATCAGTCAAACTTTGCTTACCTGCACTTGGTCCTTTTGCCTGTAGCGCTCCACATCAACGAGTGAGTTAATGACACCATGAAGTACAGCCTGATTGGTGTCTTCACCACACCGATCTCTGTTCAAAATAATTCAAGAGCACTTTAAAATAGCACAATGAACTCAACAATCAGATATTTGACTTGAATTAATAGATAACATGTCATTGTATACAATCCAGTCTGCAGAAGAGGTGTTTTAATAAATTAATAATAATCAAACTATCATTTTCAAACTATCCATTTTCACATGACTTAAAACGTTGATAAAATATGGAAATTGCCAACCACATGGTCAAGGACCACTCGAGGTGGTAACTACAACAAGACATAAAGAAGCAAGTTAGAGAGACAGAGTACATGTAGAGTACTTTGCTGTACAAGCTCATAAAAGACAAACAGTGCAGAGTAGAGCTGGTGAAGGTACACAATGGAGAAATGAGAGTCCACTTGATACCATGCTGAGGTGGTACCTGTAAAACAAGGATGTAACAGAATGGCGTATACGCAGAGTGCGGTATGGACCATGAATCTTGACTCACAGTATAAATATAGAACGTGTGTATCGAAGTGTGTGTCAAAATCTGAAATGCGAGTCTTATGATGCTTGAAGAGAGACGAGTTGTTCTCAATTCATCCGGCAAGGAGTTCCACAGATGAAATACAAGGCTGGCAAATGCAGTCTCCATATGTTGCCAAATGTCTCTTTATATGAGAAGACATGAATTGATGAAATGGTCGAGCTGTAATGGCATGCCACAAGTTGACGTAATATGTATTTTAGCACCTCAACAACAATCTGTCAGGTTCTGAATCTTTATTGGCGGAGTTGTCACATGGTATTTGAAAAAGTACTGTACTAATGGTTGCTGTTGCACATACCTGTGAATTTCTCGAAGCAACAACTCATGAAGATTCTTCTTCAATGGTTTGATCATTAGTCGCTTCCATGTATCAAGAGCTAACTGTTTAGGAGAAACAAGGCAAGAAAGAATGAGGCACACAAAACTCAATGTTACAGGGAGAAAAAATGCTATTAAAATGAACAACTGAATATCAATTAATAAGATGCACTTGGACAAAGAATACTTCAAATGTAGCATTTGTGAAAAACTACCAGCCCATTAGCATTTTTCAAGTTCAGTTACAATCATACATTGCAGAAAGCAATAGGCCAATAATTTCTTCACTTGACATCCATTGAATTTTCCAGTTAATTCAGAAAGAGGTAGTGAGTAATTGCAAAATGTCATATTGAACAATGTAGAGAACCTGAATGGGAATGCTAGAATGCCCATCAATGAAGTGGATGTTACAATCACCCAGAGAAGAAACAAGTTTTGCAGAAGGGGAAAAGTTTACATGGTTTACAAACCACAAGTGAAGACAAGGGGGGAACTAAATCAAAAATCTGGCTAGAACAACAATAATTCAATAACAATAACATAATTGGTCAGGTCAAATGATACGCAAAACGTACAGTGTGCATTGTCTATATATAATAAGACACAAATTCAAATTAAAGTCACAATAATCAAATTTTGGTAAACTTTCAAAATAATAAATCAGCGGAGAATATCAACACTCAAATTAAACCTTTCAAAAACATCTGCTTTCTTCAAGGCAAATACATACCTACCAGTAGTATAATACAAATACAACATTCTTCTACTTAAAACTGTCAGGTTTCTCGATAAAAAGAATGTAGAGCCAAATTAATAACAAATTGAAATATTACTCTTTGTTGATTTGTATAGAGCTAGGTACTGGTTATGATTTCCATTTGCGGATGCTTTTGTTATTAAAACGAGCCTACCCCTAGCCAACGTTCATTTAGTCCCGAGTCCGCAGAAAAACAGCAGCCAGTGACCACTAAGAACATCCGTCTCATATGTCACAGTCCACCACATTTGTAGAAAAACTGGCTCTCACTCGGAGTCCTCCAGGCAGGCTGGGGAATTCAATTGCTGGCCTTATTGGGTGATTTCACTGACCCTCTAGTGTGTCACCTCACTAGTTGTCCATGGTCACAAGAGACTCTTTTTTTTCTCTCCATGACAAGCAATTTGTCCTTTCCATGTGCCCCTTACAAGCAGAAACGTATTGGAGAACACAAATCTCCAAAAGTAGCAAATAAAACACATAGGATGGAAGGGAAATGTACAATTTACACCATCCAATCAAAATCAGCTGCAGGGCAATAATTTTTGCTAGCAAATGATCAATACTTCTGCTGTACAGTGAATTACATGTAGATTAAAAACCTGTAGAGGAAATGCGTACTGTTCTCTCGTACAGTTGTGAGTTGTTGTAGTGTGAAAAGCCCAAGGTCTGAAGTGCTCAAGTATATAATGAAGCTATGCCTATACAAGGGGTCTTTGGGAAAGCACTACGTGTAAAGAAAAAGAACTCAATGAAAAAATTTAGGTATACATTTTGTAATTTGAAAACTTAGAAAATGTGGACCTGCATTGGTTGCAATGACTTGACAATGACAAAGATGCCAAGCCCCACCTGCTCACATGTACATGTAAATTGACCTCCAATTCCATCAGGTTTGAAGGTATACAGGATTTCTTGCACAGTTGAGTGAGTCGTTCTTGAGACTCCATTGCAGTGGACTACTGAAGATATGACATTTCCCAGAATGTGGCACTGACTTTCACAGAAAGTTTGTTCCTGGATTATTTTATAGCCATCAACGTTGGGGGGGGGGGGGGAATTAGGTTTTGGTGTTCAGCTACAGCAAGAATAGACACCCCTTTATGTCCACCACTATTATGCACAGAAGCTAAGGTTGTTTTGTGTTGTTGGTTGCAACACTTGGGGAAAAAGGAGCTTTGGGCTACTTCAAAAGGGACACATGGTAGGCATGAAGGCAGTGAGGTATTTTGAGGTACTATACCCCTTCCCCTCAGAATAGGTTAACAGTACTTAAACTACAGGGTGTTCCAATAAACATTGTGCATGAAGGAATCGCTGATTTTCTCTAAAGTTGGTCAAACTAGCTAATCAAATTCTATAGCATTTTCAAGCCTATGGTCTTGTTTATAATTGGTGGGAAAAAATCCAGAAATACACAGATGCAAACCAGAGATATCTTTGATTTGATAAGGCTATGTTGGTTCATGGGCTGAATCATGCGCTAATGTCTTTTACACACATTTTTGTGCGCGTGAGGCATTCACTTCAGTATTCTATATACATGTACAAGCAAATACTAAGTATGGAAATTACATTGTGCAGGTCAAAAAACATAGCCTTACCAATTCAAAGATCCCTCTGGTTTGCATCAGTGGATTTTCTTATTTTTTCACCAATTATAAATAAGACCATAGGCTTAAAAACGCTCAAACAAAATTTGATAGCTAGTCTGACCAACTTTTGAAAAAAACAGCGATTTCTTGATGTACACTGTTTATTGGGACACCCTGTAGGTATTTCAGAGTTTAGCATACTGCTACATATAGATTGTGGGCATATCACACCAACCCAACCTCCGCAATCTCCTGCATACGGCACTGCATGGAGGATGAACTGCTTTGGTGATTATTTTCAGCTAGTTTTTGCACATATTTGCTGATATGCAAATGTAGATAAACAGATGTGAGTCATTTTCTGGAATGCAACATACATTACCTCACCAATGTCCATGAGTTGTTCTTCACCAGTGTCTAATGAGTAGCCAAACGTTCGGTCTGCTTCACTCATTTTTTGCCTTTTGATAAACTGCTGGTTTAGGTAACTGGATAAACAAGAAAAAATATATATTATACACACACAAATGCCCCGCAACCATAGCTGTACCCATGACATGACACCACCCCTTTAACATCAAGTTTTCTCAGAGCAACCCAGGCCAAATGGAACATTCATTCATATCACACTTGTTTTGTAATTGGAGGTAATGATGATGTTTTGTTATTGGAGGTAATGATGATGTTTTGTTATTGGAGGTAATAATGATGTTATTTTATATTGGACTAAAAGCTGTAAGAAGGCGAACATACGTGATTTTCAAGGTAGGAACATATACTTCATCATTTTGGAAGATTTTTATTTCAACACTTGGACAACGTGAATGTTCCACGTGCGCCATTTTGTTTGCTTTTTTGCATGACATCTGAAACAGAAATATTCATAAAACTTTAAGCAAAACCACTGCTTGGGAAAGATCTACTTGTTACACTATTGTTACATAACATATACTGCAGAATATAACAGATGGTATTGTGCAGTTTTGTCATCATAGACAAAGTATTTACTTGGGGAAAAAAGTCAAATGTGACACCTTTTTGATGAGTTTTTTTATTTTTTTTTATATTATATTTGTCCTTATTGATACAAAATGCCGGGGGGGGGGGTTTCCAGTTGGTGGAATTTATTTTTTTTACATTTTGTGTGTGTACGAAAACAAACGTTTGTTGTAATTCAGTTTTTTATGTGGTTATTCACGTGTTTTATTAATATTTTTATTCCTCATTTATTTTTATAAGATTCAAACTGAGAACACCGTTTACCAACATTTTGTTTTTTAATTAGGCTTTCATCAGACAGTTTTCGTTAGATGTGGTCCCAAACCGAAAAAACAATACATTTCATAGTTAATTATAAAGCTAAAGATATGGTGCTCGGTGTTCACATAGTTATGTGGTTATCACTTAATAGAATTCAATAATAAAGGCCAAAAATATAGGATCATGAATATTCAAAATTATAACTAGCTGGCTTGACGGAATTAAAGAACAGATTGAGCGCAGAGCCCTGCAAATTTGATAGCCATCGCGTGCAGTTAAGCGGTTAAGCTGTCTGGGTCTTTGTTAACACAAGTATTCATGGTATTCCCACCTGTACGGGCCGTCAAGAGTTTGGCTGAGTTGTTCATCCTTCTCTCTAGGATCCATGCATTATAAGGTAACTTTAGTTATCCTGATGACACCATTTGGTGTCTAAAATGACCTTGGAATCCTAAGAACAACTCATTATTAACTTTCAAGTCAGGTTGATAGGCTAAGTTTTTCTTCAGACATGTTGGGAAAACTAGTTCTACTACATTAACTGTAACAATCTTGACCTTTGGCCTTTGGCCTGGGTTTCAAAAATCAAAACTCCAAAGTGACAGGATTCTGGGGATCCCCAGACTAACCCACCTACATGTTCTAAGTGTCAAGTTGATAAATGACAATCTTTCTTGATTTGTACCAGGAAAACCATTTCTATTGTTTTAACTATAATGGCCTTGGCCTTTGTCTAATGGGTTCCAAACTCATTAAGCTTGTTTCACCAGCAAACTACCTATCAAGTTTCATGACTACATCAAGTGGATGGTATCACTATGAAACCCAAA